AATGATATTTCTTCACAGAATCGGTGTTTAACGCAAACAAATTTACACTCAAATAATAGCGACAATAATACGGATCCGAGAGATAAAGTTTATGGCCAACAGATTTATTCAACGATTTAACGTTCAAAATAATGTCGGCTTTATATCACATTTTTATAAACCATTAAACTATATAACCATTAAATGGTTACAAAAAAATATCATTTGCTAACTTTTTTATAAGCAAATCTGATACAATAATTTTATTATAGCTCATTGTTATTGTTGTTAATGTTGTTAAAAATTTAAATATTTATATATTTTTTATTATTATTTCCTGTAATCAAAAGAATAGTTAAATTACTTGTGTAACCAAATGAAGTGTTGGACACAAAAAAGTGTCTTTATATTCATAGAAAGCTATTTCAAGAGAATGTTTGATATCATGTGTAAATATTTAATAACAAAAACACATAAATCTTATTGTAAAACAATATTTGTCACCAGAATCTCAAAACTTTAATATAGTATTGTTTACTTTATTTACTTGTATTAATTCAATGAAATTAATAAAAAATATTTTCAAACTTTAACATACTTTTTATTCATAAAAATATTTATAATAAATTTCAAAATATTTAAATATGAATAACAGAGTAATATATTATTTGTCACACATTCAAAATATAATAAGTTACAAATTGGAGATCATGTTTGCGTTTTGTTAAGTTAATTAACAAAATATAATTTCACAGGTATTTAAATTAGAGAATCAAAAATAAATTATGTTTTTATGTATAATAATAATACTAAGTTATTTTGTTTTGCATTAAAATATATGAACAAATTGTGATGTCTTCATAGCTTTATGTCCTCTTTTTGTTTGGACGCAAACGTGAGGAATATCTGCTCGAGAGTCGTCTGTCCGACCGAATAGTCCTCAATATTCAGTGTATTCTTCGCCCTTTCGATGGCACCGAAAATGTGAGCCCACGTCAGGTCCGTATCGTTCAGATAGTAATTCAATAAATTGTAATGAATTTCTTTGAGTTCGCATCCGATGAACGACTTCTCCATAAAGTCCTTCACGTCTTTGATATTTGTATCCAAAACAATATCATTGGATATAATGCTGTTATTACGCCACGCGATCTTCGAGTGCCGGCGCTCGCCTTCCGACAAATTCTGGTTACTATCGGTTAAACCGGTTCTCACTTTAATCCTAACGGTATATCCTTTGCCAAACTTGTTCTTCAGCTGCTGTGGACTTCCTATACAACAGATCCTTCCGTTAACCATAATTATGAGACGATTGCAAAGGGCTTCGCATTCTTCCATTGAATGGGACGTCAATACTATAGATCGGCCTTCGTTTAGCTTTTTGGTCAACGCGTCCCAAAGACATCTTCGGGCCACTGGATCCACACCTGTGGTCGGCTCGTCTAAGAAGGACACCGACGGATTGCCCAGCAATGCCTTAAAGCAAACATTTAATTAATTATACAAACACTTAATGGTAACCTTTAGATGACTTACAACAGCTGTACTCAATTTACGTTTAGTGCCTCCGCTGTAATTCATAACCAATTTGTTTAAATGCATTTCAAAGAATAATAATTTGCTGATGTCTTGGATGTGTCGCTCCATATCATTCTCTTTAATTCCTCTTAATCTGCAGAACAGCACAAGAGTCTCGCGTCCCGTCAACTGTTCCAACAGACCGTCAAACTGAGGACAGTATCCAATCTG